GCTCCTGCCAGGGGCACCAGCCTGCCCCTCCTGGGGTGTCTGGCAGGAGGAATCCTCCCCAAAGGGCTTTGTTGTTCCTTTTCAGACAAGCTGTGTTGATGATCAGCTGAAGCAGCCTGCCTAGGGACCAGAATCACGTATGCACACACAGTTCTGTGGAGTTACAGTCTGGGGCCTGTGAATTAATTAGCAATTCCTCTGAAGAGCCACAGCCTGACAGCTCTGAGACTCTGATAAAGCAGGGAGGGTGCGTGACAGCTCCCTGGGATGGTGGCAGCCTACTTAGCACTGCAAACCACCCAAACACCAAGGGAGGGCTCCCCAGAAGGATGCTAACACAATTCCTAAATGCTACACATCAAAGAGACTTTGTCATCTTAAACCTGAGACAAATTAAATGTACACTGCCTCTGCAGCTGGGGAAAACAGAACCCCTGTGGGAGGGTTTGCCTCCCCAGTGTGGGCTGGGAAGGAGCCCCAGTGCAGCCCAGTGGCTTTGCTGGTGCTGTCACAGCCTGTCCCAGTGCTGAGCAGCTCCTTCCCTCTCCAGTGTGCTCCCAGAAGCACAGAAAACACAGTTTTCTGTGTTTTCTGCTCAGGGGAGTCCCTGTTGGAGGCCTGACACCCTTGGGTGCCTCTGCCAGCAGCAGAGAGCCCCAGAAGGGAGGCAGCAGCCCACCCCAGCACTTGCTCTTGCACTTGTTGTGTTTTCACCCTGTGCCTGCAAGGGAGCAGTTCCCTGCTGCAGCAGCCCGAGCTGGGCTCTGAGCAGGGCTGGGCTCTGCAAACACAAACCAAACCCAAACCCCACATCCCTGCTTGGAACCACACCAGGCAGACAGCGTGAGGAGAGGGGACACAACGGGCAATGTGCTTTTCTCTCCCTGGGAGTGAGATGATTTATTTCCTGGCTCTGTTCATCACTCAGAGATGTGGAATCGCGTCCTGCAATCACAGGCAGTGCCCACAGCTGGGATTGCCTGTCTCTGCTACACACCTGTGAAACAAGGGAATTACCAGCCTGGCCCGTGGGGCAGGGACAGCAGCACTGCATTTGCCTGCTGAGATGCATTTCTGTCCTGCTTGAGCTCTTTCCTGAGTGTCACAGGCTGTGCAAGAGAAAGCTCCCACTGCTGGTCCTCCTCTAATGATCCCCCTGTTCCTCTGTGCCTAACCCTGATCCAGCCCTGCCTCTCCTTCTGCTCCCTGTCCCCCATTTACTGCTCTCAGCACTGCATTGCATCTTCAGCTTTCCTTCCCCACCCTCCCCCAGCCTTCGTGATAGGTTGTCTAACCGAGATGAAAGTTGGTTAATAAGAATATAAAATAGCTGAAAATAAGAATATAAAATAGCTCTGCAAGAGTTAAGTCTGAGATTAAATAGAATGAGGTATTTTTCCTGGATGCCTTGTGTGTGACAGTAGGAGGGGCAGACAGTCTCTGATTATCCCACGTTGTTTTTTCCCTGGCACAATCCAGCCATTGGCTGTTCTCTGGTTTTTAACTGGAAAATTGTGGTTGCTGGGCTTTGTGTGTATTTGGGGTTTTGTTTCACTGCTCATCCTTGCCACTTCTGCCCCCTCCCTTGATTCTGCCCCAGTGAGGAGGAATGAGGCTGGAGGTGTCACCCCCATCACACAGAGTCAAAATGATTCCAGGAATCACAGGCTGAGGAAGAAAGGGTGAAAAATATATCCTAGTATTGATTCTGCCACCCACTCCTTTGCAAACAATGGTTTGCAGTCACATTTTACCATTCAGAAAATGCATTTTCCTCTCTCCAGCGCTGTGTGGAGGAGTGGGAGTCAGCAGGTAGATCTGCCCAGAGAAATGTGCATTTGGGTTTCTGGGTGCTCCTTTCTGCCCCTGTGTCAGCAATTCTGCCCCTGGAGCTCTCTGCCTGCACTGAGGAAAAAGGGAAACTGATTAAGTAGCAAGTGCTTGAATGAAATGGGATTAATTTGCTGCTGTCCCCCTCCTCTCTGCCATTCCCAGAGACTCCAGATTCCACTCTGCACGATGAAACGTGCCCACATTAAACCACACATTTAACCCTGGAGTTCATGTCGGTCTTGTCACATTTTCTCATTCAGGTTTCACCATGATTTCTCGTATTTGAAGTATTTCAGCTTGTGCTTTCAACTCTTCTGTTTATATTAAAGGTCTCACAAATTAATTTGGGTTATTTCTGGCCACTGCTCCTTTGTTCCTTTGGAAACTGAAGAATTGCAACTGGTTTTTCAATAATTTTTCCATGGTATCCAAAAGAATCTGGAAACAACAGGGGAAATAAGGAAATCAGGATTATATTTTATATATTTCAAGCTGTTTGCAAGCTCAGAGCTGACAATAATGGACTGCAGGCGAGGAAATCTGCTTTGGAGCAATTTTGGTTTCTCTGCAGCACCTTGTATCTAGCCCCACCAGCTGCTTCTGAAACTTGTACTTCAGCTGCCATAATCTGATCATTAAAGGCGGATTTAGGGTTTAAGAGGCGATGAAGAACCCTTTCTCCTTGCACTCTGCATTCTGGGTGCAAGCTCAGCTCCACTCCAGCTCAGCCCTGATCCCGGGCAGGGCAGGGCAGGGGCACAGCCCAGCAGCTCCTGGGGATGCAGCTCTTGGCTTTTCCTCTTGCTGCTTCCTGACTGCTCAAACCCTTCCCTGTCGCTGCTTTTCTTCCCCACCCTTGCAGTGTAACAGGAGGAAAAAAGCTGAGTTTGACCACATCCACGAGAATGTCAAGCATTTAGACTTTATTGGTTTAGAAGCTTACTAAATTTAAACAGAAGCATTAACATGGCCTTAGGCTCTCTTGACAGTTATAAACTCTTCCTTGGGGGGATTTCTGTAATGCTTTCTAATCAGCTTAAGGAGTTAATTAAACAGCTGTCACTTAGCTGCTTAATTCTGAGACTTGATGCTAAATAAGATTTGAAATTAGTTATGCATGACTGAAGCATGGATCCTCTGCTATCAGCAAGATGGCTGCGACTTGAACAGGAGGCAAATCTCGGTCTTTTTTTAACTAAATAGTGAAAAGATTCGAGGTGGGACCCTGGATTAATGCTCTACATGCTGACTAATAGAAAATACATTAAAAAGCAGAAAATAGAGAAGGTTAAGGAGTGTGAAATGGGAGGGATTTTCAGGCAGCTGTTCGGTCTCGTTTGTGCACTCTCTGCACTTCAGGAGATTTCGGGGTCAGTTTGTTCTTTCCTGATTGCACTCACAGCCCGGGAGCCAAAACACCTCCTGGAACCCGAGAGGAACACTCGTGACTTTTGAAATTTGACTTTCAGCCTGCAAAGATATGTTCCACTGCTCTAATGAAGAATGAGTGTGGAGATCTGCTGTGCTTCTAGAACATGAGTTATGGTGTCGTGGGCAGTTTTTAATCTTCTTTTCCCTGTGGATTGGAGCAGGACAAGCACTGCTCCTCCTGAAGGGCAGGGTGGGTGGAAGGATGCACCTCACTGTGAGAGAAAAGCAACAATGCATTTTATTGGTGGTGAAGGCTGCGGGTTAATGCAGTGGTGGATGTGCTTTGACAGGATGCAGCACAAGGGGCTGATGAGCATCCCCAGCCAGGCTCAGAGCAAACAGAGCCAGGGACAGCCTCCATGGAGTGCTGAGGCTCAGAGGGGACCCCTTGTGCCCCAAACTGCCAGGGGAGCTCAGGGGCAGCTGGAGCAAAGCCACGCCTGAGTTAGGCATGCACTGACCTCTTCCAAAAGTTATATGCACACATATCCACACACAAACATTAGGAAATGCCATCTGTGTGTACACAGACAACAGAAACAGAAATTTGGAAAGATTTATAAAGATATTGTAAAGTCCTTTTTTTCACCCGAGGAAAGATAAGGCAAAAGATGTTTGAAGGGAAATTAAATTTCAGCGAAGCTACCTATTAAAATTGAAAAAACCTAATAGGTATTCACCTCTGCATTTCAACTTAAATTGATGCTTACTGTGTACATCTTTTGAATATGTTTCTGCTGGAGGGCTTAATATGCTCAGTTATTTAATATGAATCTCTTCAGTAAGCAAAGAACACTCTAGCATCTTCTTTAAGATACTTTATACTATTTATACTATTTATTTACCGTGGTAGCAATTTCAGAATAAAGATTACCTGGTCTTCCATTTCTATTACACACAGAGACATGTTTTTCTCTGATTATTTCCTTTTATTATTGGAGGGGCTCAGTGTAAGTGAATTATAGGGAAATGCTGTGTTAATAATTAGAGAAAGTTCAGCACCTATTTAATAGCTGCTGAGGGAATCAACTTTTACCAGTGAGACTGTTCGGCTGTAGCTTTGCAAAAGCATAACTGTTCCCATCCTGAGGAGCCCTGACATCTTATCTCCTGTAATCTATGTTAGTTATAGATAAAGAACACAATATTTCTTCAGGAGCTCCTTTTCCACTCAAGCAGCAAAAAGCAGCAGTTACAAATTAGTAACTATTTGGATTTATGGCTCTGGCATGCTGAGGCTCTGAACTGTAAATCTCAGCAGTGGGTTTGTTTCCTGAGCGTGCAGGCATCGCCACACGGGGATGTTCAGCCCCCCTGGCTGGGAGATGCTGCAGGAGCGCTCCTGTGCCCTGCAGTGGGGCTGCTCTAATGCTGCTGTCCCCTGAGCTTGGGGCCAGGAGAGAGCAGTGCCCGAGGAACCATCCCCTGAGCCTCCTGGGAGCAGAACTGCCTGCAGAGCACCAGCCCAGGGCTGCTGTCCCCTGTGCTTGGGGCCAGGTGAGAGCAGTGCCCTAGGAACCATCCTCTGAGCCTCCTGGAGAACAGAAACTGCATGCAGAGCACCAGCCCAGGGCTGCCAGGGCAGTGGGGAGCAGGGCAGGGTGGGCAGTGAGGAGCAGCATCCCCAGCACTGGGAGCAGCTCCTGCCCCAGCCATGAGGAATTAGAGCTGAACCCAGGCTGTATGAAGCATTCCTAGCAGAATAGGTGTGCTAAGCAGCCTTTGTTTTCTTTTAGGAAGCAGAGATCCTGAACACAGCCGTTCTCACTGGCAAGACAGTGGCTGTCCCTGTCAAGGTGGTTTCTGTGGAAGATGATGGGACGGTGACAGACCTGGTGGACTCTGTGGAGTGCAGATCATCAGATGAAGACGTCATTAAGGTAGGAGCAGGCTGCAGAGCACTGCTGGTCTCTAATGGAACAAGTTCTTTCATTTCTGACTGCTCTCCTGCTGGAACACCCAGATTTATTATTGCTGTTATTGCTGTATAGCTCGCTCCAGCGAAGCAGCAAACCAAACACAAAACCACAATTTTCCCTCCTGCTCGTCAAAGCCGTGGGGCTGTCTGACACTTCCCCTTGGGAAGCATTTCCAGAGCTGCCTGTCCCCAGCCCCTCTGGTCCCAGGGGCTGTGGGCGTGCTGCTAGCAGCGTGCTGCTGCTCTGTGCCCGGTCAGGGTGTGCTGGGCTGGCCAGGGGACAGTCACAGGAGGGACAGTCACAGGAGGGACAGTCACAGGAGGGACAGTCACAGGAGTGCCTGCAAGTTCCTTTTTGGCCTCAAGGTAATCCCTGCTTCTTGGGGGCTTTCAGCAGGTCCCAATGTTACCACTGCAATCCTGTAAGGATCAGCCCTGCAGATTTCTATCTGAGTGATGAATGGTGAAGGGGAAGGAGCAGTGGTGATGGTGGCAGATAAGGCACAGAGGATTCCAGCAGGGTGACACAAAAGTTGCCTTGTCTGCAGCAGCTTTTATCTTTTCACAAACTCCTCTGTGGCTGTCACTCCAGAAGAGGAAACAAGAGATGCAGCTACGAATGAAAGTTAAAATTGAATTTTAGATTTTTTTTCATAACCAGCACAAACCTTCCAGGCCACGCTCCCAGCTGCTGGGAATGGCTGTTAACCCATTCACTGCTGGGAGCTGCTCCTTCCTGGGGCCCTGGCATTGCCTGGGGCTCACTGAGGGTTCTGCTCTGCCCTGGCTCCTCTGCTCTGGGCTCCAGCAGCTCCAAAACCTGCCGAGCCCCCAAACCCACCCCTGCTGTGGGCATGTCCTGCCTCTGTGGGCACAGATGGGGAGTCACTGCCATTGGGAATGTGAGACATACCCACAGGTTCGGTGGCTGCCTGTCACAGGGCCACTGCCAACTCGGGCAGAATAAGCGAAGAACAGAGCTGGGCAGAGCTGTAAATGGTTCCTCCTGAGCTATCTGTTCTGACAGAAAAGGAAATAATTGCAATTTCTATGCTCATTGCACTTGTTTTAAGTAATTTCTTCATGGTCATTTCTTATACATGAGATGAACACCAGCAATTTCAAAGTTTAGTATTTTTAGTGCTCCCCTTTTAGAATCTTCTCAGTGTTCCTACTTACCTGAATAGCCCCCATGTTGGTATTTTCTAATTAAACATGTCTTTCTGGCTGTATTATTAGGAACATTTGGGGTTTGGGATTTTTTCTCTTCTGTGAAGCCCTTTTGGATCTGGTAAATCTGCCAATATAGCCAATTGTTGGACTTCATTTAGATTTAACAACAGAAGGAAATTATTTGTCCTTATGTTGTGGGAGTCAATGGACTAAGTTCTTACTAACTCGTCCATCTTCTATTTCATTTTTTTGGTGAATTGAAAAAAAAAAAAAAGAGATTTTGAAAGCAAATCCATCATTTGGAAGATGTGTAAAAAGCCAGTTTTGCTTGCAGATGTTGTGGTCGTTGCCTGAGAGGACATGAATGTGCTGGTGTGTGTGGTGCATCCACACCCCACACCATGACCAGGGGTTGGTGACAGCCCTGACAGGGTTCCCAGCAGGATCAGCACATCCTGCAGCAGCAGAGAGGTTTCTGCACAGCCAGAATCCGGTGCCAGTTTAAAGTGAGCTCTTAATTGAAAATGTGTCTTGAGTTTCCAGTTTACCTGCTCTGGTTCGGAGCAAGCCTTGTTCACAGGCATCTAATGAAGATAAAGATATATAATTACTGGGCAGCCTTCAGCATGCAGCAGTAATTAGAGTTCCTGTTCTCTGGGCGTTGGAGTGGGGAATAGAAAATGGAAGAAAAACCTGCTTAAGGTGCCCACTGAAATAGAAAGATTAAGATTACCTTTCTTTGGGTCTTTACTGGTGCTGTTTTTCAGTGCATCTGTCAAGTAGCATCTAACAGATTGATTATGTCTTCGTGGCTTAGCTTTTCTTCCTGTTTTTTTGCTGTTGATTAATGATGAGGTTAAGCTCATTTTCATTGCAGAATGAGGGTACCTCATTCTTCTTTTCGTTTCAGGGTCCACATTTATTACTCACTTCTTTCATCTGAGACTTCAAAGAACTTTAAAGAGCTGGTCCAAACTCTGCACTGACTCTTTTTGTGCCAAAGTGCACCCACCTGAACATGGTTGAATATGTCAGAGCAGAATTTAGTCCATTGAAACAGTATTTGTTTTGACAAATGATTCTCAGAAGTTATTTGGTCCAGCATGACAGAATAACCACACCAGAAAGTGCAGGTGTGTTACAGACTGTGTTTCAGTAATGAGGACTGTGAGACACAGAAAAGTTAAGGTGTAAATTTCAAAGTGCTGTCAAGTGCTGACCATTTGTAGAGAGTAAAACTCCTACTGAACTAATGTAAAAAAAAAAAAAAACAAGAGAGATTTTTGAGCAGAGTTTATTTTTGCTGAGTTATTAGTAAGGAATAAACTCTCAAGATGATTTTAATCAAGAATAAGGAGAGGAGAAAAATAATCTTCTTTTAATCTTTCATTTTGAAAAGACATTTCTGTTTCCAAATGGTCATTTTTTTCTAGGCTCAACAAAGCCTGGAAGTTTCCAAAGCAACACTTTCCAGTGGTCTGGGTTTTCAGTTTGACGAGTTAATTGAAAATCTGCATTTCAGTTACCCTGCCAGGGAGGCTGGGGGCTCGCCTGCATGGATGGCAAGAGGTGCTGGGCTCGGGGAGTGCAAGGGGCTTGTTGTTGCTGCTGGCACCCTTGGCACAGCCTGGGCACTGCCCCAGAGCCCTGCAGGGCGTCCAGCCTGGCCTTCCCTGGGAATTCCCATTCACAGAGTCCAGAATCCCAGACCTCCAGAATCACAGAATCCCAGAATCACACAGAATCCCAGAATCCCAGAACTCCAGAATCACACAGAATTCCAGAATCACACAGAATCCCAGAATCACACAATCACAGAATCACACAGAATCACAGAATCCCAGAATCACAGAATCACACAGAATCACAGAATCATGGAATCACAAAATCCCAGAATTCCAGAATCCCAGAATCACACAGAATCACACAGAATCACAGAATCCCAAACTCCAGAATCACACAGAATCCCAGAATCACACAGAATCCTAGAATCATGGAATCCCAGAATCACAGAATCACACAGAATCCCAGAATCAAAGAATCCTGGAAGCACAGAATCAGAGAATCACAAAATCCCAGAATCACACACAATCCCAGAATCACTAGGTTGGAAGAGACCTTCAAGATCGATTCCAGCCCAGCCCCAACACCTCAGCTGAACCCTGGCACCCAGTGCCACATCCAGGCTCTGTTTAAACCCCTCCAGGGATGGTGACTCCCCCACCTGCCCGGGCAGCCCTTCCAGGACTTTATCACTCTTTCTGTAAAAACCCTTTTCCTGTACCCCAGCCGTGTTTCCTCCCCGCTGGGGCTGAGGCTGTGGGGGCTTGCCTGGCGCTGTGCTGGCCCTCTGCAGGGTCTGGTGTCCCTGGCGTGCTGGGCAGGGCTGTGACCCAGCCTGGGCACTCACTCCTGCTCCAGGGAAGGGTTGGCAGCTGCTCTGCTCTGACACTTTGGAGTGGGTTGGATGGGAGAGCATCACACTTGGCAATTTGTAAAATATTACTGCAGGCTAATAAATCTTTCACTAACACTTAGTGTGGTTTTATCAGTGGTAAAATAACATCTTTTTAATCATGTGACAGACTTAGGGAAGCTGAAGTGTCAGAGCATTTAAAGTAGCCCGAAGCAGACAGTGTTTTAAAGCATGAAACTTTTAGCAGCTGTTCCTTTTCTTCCTTACACTGGTGCACTTCAGGGAGAAGCTGAGTTCTCCTAAAGTCGCTGGAGGGACAGAGTAAGCCATCAGAGGGAGGAGAGAAGGGAGTCAGGATGATGTCTGCTCCAGCCAGGCCTGGCTGCCCCGAGCCAGCCCAGGGTCAGAGATGTGCTCACAGCCAGCCCAGGGTCAGAGATGTGCTCACAGCCAGCCCAGGGTCAGAGATGTGCTCACAGCCAGCCCAGGGTCAGAGATGTGCTCACAGCCAGCCCAGGGTCAGAGATGTGCTCACAGCGTGTGGCTGTGGAGCTGAGCGGGTCAGGGCCAGGCAGAGCCACCACAGCACAGAGGGACCACCCTGCCAGGACAGGCAGGAAAACCTTCTCTGAGAGCACTGATGGCTCAGACTGGCTAACCAGAATGTGCAATGTTTTATATCTGTGATATACAACACAACTGATGAATCTGTGCCTTGAGAGATCAATTTTGTGCCATGCTTTTCCATAATAGAAAGGCATTTCTCCCACCAGCTGAGCAGCCTTATTCCCTCCCAAAAAAATTTTGATCCATCTTGGAAACAACCTTGATTTAAATCAGCAAATGTATGTTTTTATTTTCTGCAATGTCTAAACATTTCATTTTGATAGAAAATGATGAAATCATGTTCTGTCATTTCAACTCCATTTCAGTATTCCTGACATCGGAATCCATCTGACCTTTTCACCTTAGGATGGAGCAACTTTAAAAATGAAAGTGCTTTTTCTGCTCTGCTCCAGGAATGCAAGAGAAACTCAGAAAAATGCACTGCCAAAACTAAGAGTTGTAATAATAACTGTAGAGTTCAGTTCATGTGCTGCTGGTGTTGCTTATAAAGGCAGAAGGCACAATTTAAATCTCTCTCTGGTATGAGAAACAGACCTGGCAAAGATGAATTCTGAATGTGGAACCAATACAACAGACTCACACCTCCCAGGAATTGTCTGAAACTCACCTAAAGCTGCTGAAGTGACTGATTCATCTCTTTCATATTCTGCCAATTCATCATTCTGATGTGCATCTTGGGAAGTAATGAGGTTTCTGTGGTGTTATTTGCCTTTTTGTAATCATCCATACTGAAAACCCCAGTGGGA